TTTAAATCCATTTTGGGACAATTCTGTCAGTTCTACCCCCGGGCTCTGAGTCTCTGACAGGGACAATACAGCTCCGAGGCAGGAAATATCCCCGTGTCTCATAAAGAAACGAGGAGAGAACAACATGTCACAAAGACGGCCATAAACATCCTATCTGCTGTTCCACCATAAACTGTTATGATCTGAGTGTCAGCTCCAGTATTCTTCTGCATTCTGTCAGAGTTTTACTGTCCCTTCCGTCGCCTCCTCACTCTGCCTCCACATCGTCGTCCTTTTCCCATATTCTGACATAATGTTTGCCTTATTTTATGCATGAACTGTAAGTCCAATGTGCTTCTGCTGTCATGGCATTTAGTGAAGCCGGGGAAAGCAGGATGTCGTGCGAGAGCGTCTTCCTGTGACTGACGCCAGCGGCGTTGATGCTAACCAGTGCATTAGCCGTGCTGCAGGCTCACAGAGCCACTGTCTCTGTAAAGTATGTCCACACTCCATTGTGTGTGTGTTTTTTCCGCGCACCTGTTTGTGTGTGTGCAGGACCGGGGGGTTGTCCTCTCCGCGTTCGTTTTGCCTAATACGTCCATGCAGGCTTTGCTGGAGAGCGGGCGGCGCGCAGCAGCACAAAGATCAGGTCTATTCCTGTGCTCCACGCCTGCCCAGTGCTGATAGGAAAGGATTAATGAGGCGGGGCATCATCGCTCGTAATTAGAAACAACGCTAAAAACTATTTTTGAGCCTGTTCCTATGGAGAGATCTTGACCCCCAGGCCAACCCTCGCTCCACCACCCCCTCCCTGACAGCCACGAGGCAGTAGACGTCTGCAGAGTTGGAGTAAATATAGGCCCATAACTCCTGCAGCTATGTGACACATGGTTCAATAGAGGGGAGTGCAGATAATTCACAACTGTCCGTCTGTGTGCTCCACTGGACACTCAGATTTCAGGAGCGTTGTCTCCAAAAATACCCAGCGTGTGGCTTGTTTTGTTGTTATTGATCCCAATAAGGACTTTCTGCAGTTTCCCGCGCCACGAGCTAGGTTACAGGTTTTCAATTTCCTGTTCATCCCTCAGTCTGCTGTTCGCCTTTACATATCAGCAATTCTTCTCTCATTTTTGGAATTTACAGCTGAAGCAGTTAGTCCTAATCTGTCAGCAGGTTTCTCCTTTTCCTGCCAGAACGTGCCATATGTCTGCTCATTTATCGGCTGAATATAGTGGGATCTAGTGTTCGCAGTGAGTCAGACATGAAGAATCGATGACTGAAGTGTTTACTGTGATTTAGTAGATGGATTTGTAATTAACCTGATCAGGTCTGTGTAAAAAAACATACAAGTCTTTCTTGGAGAAAACCTTGAATACTTATATTTAGAATTGTGTTTTTTGGAGATGGAAAAATGTTTCATCAAGGAATAAATTCTTTAATGATCTAGTACTGTATAACATTCAGAACTAATTTTGAAATTCTAATTCAGGAGTGGCACAAAAGTACCTAAAGGTGGTGCAGGAAATGTATGAGCAAGTGCAGATGTACAGTAGCAGGATGTGCAGTCCGTGTGACTCATGGGTCCATGAGCTACGGTCCTGGTCGAGGATCTGTTTACACGTGGTTAGTTTAGCTAGTTTAGGTTAGTTACGTAAGTGTTAATATGTGCTGCTGAATCAGATCAGTAAAGTTGAAAATGTAACATATTGCCTCCTCCTGTGCAGCATATTTCATAATAAACAGCCATTGTTTTTGCATCGAACAGATTTCAACCATAAAACATCTGGCATGTTTCAGTTTTGTCACATCAGAATGCCAGAACGCTGACTGTATAAAATGAAAAGCACATTATTGCTTTATTCTATAAGAAACCAAAAAGACAAACAAAGGCTCTCTCTGTGCGGGGTTGAGGGGGAGCAGTGAGAAAACACAACCACCAGGACACCAGAAACCAAACTTGAAGCCTCCCTGTTTTATTTCAAAGCTCACAAGTAGAGATTACAAAACCGCAGTGCTTCAATTGCAACAGTTCAAGGTGTAGTAGAAGAGTAGGAGGGACGACAGACCAGTCGAGGACTTCTGAGCAAGTCATGCAGAAAAGGTGTGGGAGAAGGCCTCCGATATAATAGCACCCTTTGTGGAAAAAAAATAAATCCATCTGTCCATAGGTCAGTGCAAAAATAGTAATGAATATATGTATACAAAGAAAATAGATATATGTATATATATATTTATATATACTGTATATACTTGACTGTCGACTACAGACACACTAAAGATACAGAGACTTTGTTATAGAGTGAAGCCCGTTTTCCACCGGAGCCTCGGAGCCCAAAATCAGAGACTCTGATCTGCCAAAAAAATCTGGTCGGGAAGAGTTCACGTCCAACGTGACAGCTGTTCTAGTACGGCACCATGTGTCCTAAAGAAAGGGGACAGACCCCGATGGCCTGGACGGAGCTGTCAGTGGGGCTGTGACCTCTTCAAAAAGAGCATTGTGGGAAAAGATGGAGAGCACCAAATCGGCTGCGAGTGTCTCTCTCTCGCAGACCAGGAGCACACAGCATGCTTCTTTTCCAACCAGACAGAGAGAGAGAATAATGTACAGTACCACAGTTACAATGTTCAGTCAAATAGAACGATACGTACAGAAGCCATGTGTCGCCGCCACTTGAGAAACCTGGCAGATGAGACGAGAAGATACTTTTTTTTTTTTTTTCAATAACACTGGCTCAGAGGATTAGGATTTTGTTTTTCTGATAATGGCCATCAGTGAAAACAAAAACACAAGCTACAGATGTGATCAATGCTCGTTTCGTATGATCGTTTTTTTCTGAATGTACTTTGATATAACGCAGAGCACCAGTGGACAACAGTGACCACCCCAACGAAAAATAAAAACACGTGAGCACCACAGAGCGCATGTAAGAGGGTGAATTAGATGTCAGACGGCAAACTAATGTCATGAGAGTTGACCAGTGATGCTCAGCAGAATTGAGCAGGAAGTCCATATGTACGGAAATCTGTGGAAAATGTGTCTTTGTTTGGTCATAATCACCGGTTTGAAGCGTATTCAATTTGTAACTTTAGATGACATTTAGTCAAGAATGGGCTCAAAACAAGCTAAAGCTAAACCCAGAGAAGACTAAAGCTACTGTAACTACACATGTACAACTGTATTAGCCATAACGTAACTTAGGGAAAGGCCAGAAGATAGTCAAAGTTAACATGTAGCCAACAGAAAACACATGGTAAACTACGTTAGCATGTGGTTTGGAGAAGAAAAAAAAGTCCAGAAACAGTGGCAAGTCGAGAGAGCTTAAATATTAGCCTGAATAGCCTCATAAAATGTTTTTGTTTTTTGTTTTTTAAAAAAAGGTAAAATTAACCATTAGTAATCTTGAACAGGTAAATGATAGCTAAAAGTTAGCTAGCTAGCAGAAAACAGTTACACAGACAACAGTCAAGTTAAGCAGTAACAAAACTTAACGAAATGAGCTGGAAGAAAGATGCAGAAAAAAAAATAACTAAGAGATACTCACAGAAATTATCCAATTAGTCAATTTGTCTCATGACTAGTTAACAAGTTAACAAAAGGTTACGATAGAAGTTTAAAAAAGAACCAACTATAATCAAGTTTTTTTTAGACAAATGCCCACAGATTTCCATCCATACAGTTAATTCAACCTCCAGCGGGTTTGGGCTGGTTGTGCGTCTTCACCTTTGACCCCAGATGGCTGCTTCAGTGTTTTATACAAAGTCTATGGCAAGGACACATGTTCAAACACAAGTCTCACTGACGGCTTCATTTCAAGCGCTGAGTCTGCAGACTCAGCGCTTGACGAGACGTGACAGAACGACATTTGGGTTGAGAGAAACAACCTGTTACATCTTTCATTTTGCATAGCGTGAGATTTGTTTCACATGAGGGATTTGAAGCTTATTGTTTAAATGTTGGTGTTTCGGAGCCTGACAGAGGGCGCTGTGTGTGTGTGTGTGTTGAAACCTCTCCTGCATTCACCTCCACCTGGCTGACAGACACAGGACTACTCTGGGAGAAACAGTGAGTTCATGATGGTTCACGTCAGCAGCCAGTGATGGTGTTTGAGCTGTGCTTCGTTTTTTTTATTTTTTTTATGCCTTTCTTTCAACACTAACAGTGGAACAGAGGTGAACAGAAACAGAACAGGAACTCTTGTTTGGGAGGAAGCTGCTAAATGTCATCTTATTTCTGTTTTTACTTTAAGGGGAAGTCAGCTAAACATCAGCCCTTGGCTTTATCAAATCAGAGTGAACGCAAAAGTAAATCCACTGTCTTAGGACTAAACAAAGCTATTTTTAGGCACCAAAGGGGGGAGGGGAACGGACGGACGGGGGGGGGGGGTTCTTGACAAAAATACTAAGCTTAACGAGATAATACTGGTAATACTTAGGAGTCAGACGTGTACAAGTAGTCACATCCTTCCCGTATGGGTACCTAAAATGGTCTTTTCCATGAAGTGTAAAAATAGAAAAAGGTTGTTTAGATTATTTGAACTGATAATTTGAACTGACAAGATCCTGTGGTTTGGATAAAAAGGTTAGTGGACTTAATTTTAGCATTTTTGTATAAATGTGATGGTAAGTTTATTAGCTATAGCTATAGAAATATATTTTAGGATTATTTTAGATTCTTACTTTGTGGTTAAAATACTAACATGTATATTATGTGTATATGTGTATATATATATATATTATTTCTGCCATCTACTACAGTATATATGCTAACTGACTAACTAAGTAACTAACCCTTGGTTCTCTTATGAATATTCATCAGTAATGTTTACTTGAATGGTTTGACATTACCTGGTTAATGTTAGCATCACAATAGCCGTACTATTGCGATGCTAACATTAACCAATATCAAGTGACTTTTTTTTTCTGACCTTTTGCTGTTTCGCTTTAAGATGTTCTCTTTCAACTATCCTCTAGCTCTTTTTATATAAATGTGACTTACTTTTAAATTTATTATTTTTTTATTAGTGATATTTTAAAATCAAGTTTCCTTAATTACTTTGCATAAAAGTTTAAAGAAATTTTAATGAGGTTACGAAAATTTTAACCTAAGGGAGCCGTATCATTGGTAATATTCAATTTTAATAACCCAACGCGGGGGTAATTTTGACTCTTAGATATAACATTTGTCCAGAAACAAAGAACTTAGCCTCAGGCTGATGCCATGGCTCCTCTGCCTGTGATGATGACACATGGATTAAGGCATTGATAGACACTAAACTGTAGCTCAGTTTGAGTGACAGCAGAGAGAGGAGGAGAAGGTCGTAAATGATTTAAAAAAAAAAAAAAAAAAAAAAAAAAAAAAGGACGGCTCAAACGAAACCCTGACCCACAGGAGCAGGTTTACGTCTGTTTTGGTGCACCTGGGCGTGCACGGTCACAGTGACACTGGGATGGTGAGACGGTGGAGCGTGTGGCTCAGGGGTGAAGTGGAGCGAAAAACACGCAGGAGAAACAGAAGGCAGTGGAATTTTCTTCTGCCTGTTACATTAAACATCAGCTGTAGCCCTGTTTTTTTTTATAATATTCACTCATTATTTTCAAAAGTGTTTTTTTTTTCCAGCCATGCATAAAAAATGGCCACATGGCCCGTGTTCTCATGAAACTGTATACCGTACGCTCGTGTGGATGCAGGAATGGCACAACACGTGACTGTGAATTTGAATGAACCCAGAAGTGGCTGTAACAGTTTGGACAATAACAAAAATGGACTCTCAGCAAAGAGCTGGAAATGTTTTGTCATCATTAGCCATATATACACATACAAGACCAAGGTCTCGGTTGCATTCCACTCCACAGATTATTGCACAGTGAGCCGACAGAGGCTCCTTATGGTCAACCCCCGAAAAATCCCCCGTATAAAAATAGAACAACATTAACACAGCAAAACTGTCTTCATTATTATATATGTTTTTATTTCACAGGCACTGCCATGGCCAAACTCAGCATAAACTGTGCCACAGTGTGAGCTGTAGGAGTTTCTGCACCTCCTCTGAGGTCACAGCGGGACTCTATCCCACTGACCACCTCCTCTGTAACTCCTGTTCTCCTCTCAGACACGGGTCAGGTCCAAACACAGGGTTTTTTTTGGCATCATTCATCACCCCTGACCCAGAGCTTTGGCACCTCCACAGTGTCCAACATGAGCACGAAGAGATTTGATAAAACATCTATCTCTCGCGTGCTCTCGTCTCTTGAAGAACGGTGAGAGTGTGAGCAAACACTCTGGAAAAGAATTTGACTAGACGACCGTCTCCACGCCGATCAGCTTTGGCGTGAGGATTCGCGGGGTTATTCCGTTGTTCAGATCCTCCTCGAACTCCAGCAGCTGGCCCATGAAGTTGAGGTTGGGGGAGATGATGGGCCTCCTGGTTTTGACGAACTTGTAGGCGTCCGTCATGGTCATCCAGGTGTGCTTCATCAGGTAGGCGATCACAATGGTGGCGGAGCGAGACACGCCGGCCTGGCAGTGGATCAGAAGGCCCAGACCTGCTTGATGTGCTTCCTCTGCAGAGAGGAAGAAAAACAGAGCAGATAAATCCAGTGTTAACTATGAAGAAGTGCAGTTATTGACACGAGGAACTTCCTTCACTGGCAGTTCTGCTCTGTATGACAACCACCAACATTTGAAACTGTCAATGTTACGGGCTGGTTGAAGACCCACCGAATGGGGAAAGGATTTCTTTTCAAATCCAACAACAACAGTCAAATGTTAGCCAGAAATCCACTTAGCATTATTAGCCAAATTATGAATAAAATTGTCTCTTGTAGTTAAGTTGAATTAGCTCAAATTGCTTAATTTTAGCCTTAATTTCATATAAAATCTGACTAAACAAATTATAACTGGCCAGAATTCACAATATGGCCAAAAGGTAATTCAAAATGATTCCAGGACGAGTCTAATGTTGGCCTAAAAACTTGAAGCTAATGCTTGAAGAGAATTTACATTTCGCCTTTATTAGCACAGTAACTTGTGTCATAATACAGTAAGGTAAGGTACGTAGGTTTTCTTAAGTAACTGAAAGTTGACATAAAGTTTTCCGCTGTCTTTCACTGCCCCATAGAAAAAGTGAAATTTTTGCCCAGACTTCTCAAAAACATGAGTTATTTTCCAGCCACTGCAGTGATGGTGTGAAGATACACATGAGTCACAGGGTTCACCTCACATGACTTCATGAAACCTCTCACGCTGCTAAGCTCGAAAAGGTCACACAGCGTCAACAGGGTGTGTCACATGTATAAAGTTCAAACTCGTAAAAGAAACGCCGGGACAGTTTTCGTACCGATGAACTCAAACGCCTCCTCAAAGTACTGCCGCAGGTTCTGTTTGTTGCTGTCGGTGGCCGGAAGGCGCTTGTAGATGAAAAGGCCCGTGTCGTAGTGGTAGAGCGGCAGGTGGGTGGTGACGTTGAGGATGTAGCCGATGTTCAGGCGCTGCAGCAGGTTGATGTCCTGAGCGTCCTGCTCGTTCCCCAGGTAGAGGAACGGCAGGATTGGCGTCAGCTCTGCGTTCTCTATGTCCGGAGTCGAGGGCAGGGAGTGAGGTAGTGCACCCGTCAGCCCTGCAGCTGCGCCGGGCTCCAAGCCCTCGTGAAGGTGCAGCGAATGCTCACACAGGTTCTCATGGCTCTGTCTGAAGCAGCTAAGGCCTCCTGTGAACAGAAACACACAGAGAGAGAGAGACTGTAACTGTCAGGTTCAAATAAATGGAGCTAAGCTAGGAAGCTACGTACAGTGTTGAAAAATGTCCTTTTAATAACGACTTTATACCATGTTCTTCCTTTTAATGTATATAATTAGGTTGATATCAGCCGTCCGATATTATCGGCCCGATATTAGTATATTATGTAATATCTGTAAGAATCGTTATCGGCTTTTCCTCCGATAATGAAAAACCAATGCGTGGGTTTCACCAAATGATGTGTGCCCTAAAAATACTTTTTTGGGGGTAAACAGCTGTATATGAACATGAAAGTCACTAGATGGCAGCATTGCAGCTCATTTAATTAACCTTATACTAATACAGTGATTTGTACAGATAAATAAACAAATATTACCAGGCCGATATCGGTTGATATTGGAATTGGAAATTAAGTGAACAATATCCACATATCGGATATTGGTAAAAAATGTAATATCGGACATCACTATATATAATTTAATCTTGTGGGTTTCTTTAATGTAGAACTAACACTGACAGGGTTAAGTGTTCAATTCCCACTGGTAAGTTTCATGCTATAAATACTACGAACCAGTACTTCAGTCAGGCTGTCGGGCACACAGTTCAGATAAGAAGAGAAAAAAATAGACTGTAAATAGAAAATGGACAACACCGCCTGGTTATGGAGCAAAATGTCCTCTTCTAGACCTGGAGGTTAAAACTTTTTAAAAAGTCCTGGTTCTTGTAGCCAAAGTATGACTTAAGGTTGAACTAAAAATATCTACAGTTAGCCACAAACTCCAAAACAAAGCCAAAGGATGACTAAACATTTTCCTATAAATAGATTTAGATCAGCAGAATGTATAGCACCACAATTAGCCTGAAGTTGGTCAGAAATGATGCTTAAAGAGGACGACGTTGTAGGTTAACAAAAATGAAATTTTAAAATTTTGATGAAATTGTCTGGCACACAAAAAGACCCTTTATATGGTTTATTTATTTATTTTTTTTCCTCTGTATGTTGCTTTCACATACGTAGGACTTAACGTTCTATAAAGGAAAACCTTTATATGACATACGACTTTACGTTCTATAAAGGAAAACCTTTATATGAGAAATGATTTTTATGGGAACATGTTTGCGACCAGCTCTGCGTCTGTGTCCACTTTCTTTTTACGAACTCTGCTTTTCCTTCACATTTCGTCAGAACAATGACCACTGAAAAAAAAAAAAAAAAAAAAAACATACTGAAATCTTTCAATGTCTTTTCACCTAACGACATGCTGTTGTGTGTACTTTCCACTGGTAATTCACCACTGATTGGCTCCAGTAATTCTGTTAATTCTGAGTCACTTTTCCAATGAAAGTAAAACCAAAGATATAATCTGTCGTCACTCAACTTCTACACCTGCACCTGTCGTCTGTGGTGCCCTCGGTCAAAGTTCCCCTCCGTGTCATACGAGTAAGGGTGGCAAGTGGAAAGTGTTACACACACACACACACACACACACACAGTATCGCTTTGTGTCTTTGTCGTGGTAAGAGTTGACATGGACACACGTGAGTTCAAGACACAAACTGGCTGCAGTTTGTCAGCTGTGTTCTCCAGAAAACAGAGAGGATTGTTCAGAGTGGAGACAAACAGCGGTCGGACGCTGGTGTGGCACCGTGTCAGACTGACATGTGTGGTTAGAATTACACCGCAGTAAAAGAGAAGGAAGTTCAGACGAAAGAGATGCCGTTAAAATAACTTTTAAAATAACTAACCTTCCACTGGTGCTGGAGGTTTTCTGGATTTCTGTTTTCCATTCAGGCTAGAGCTACAGTTTGTTGTAGAGATATTTTAGTATATTATATTAGTAGATATATTAGTCTTTTTTTAGAGATATTACTGATAGTGATTATTAGGTAATTATTTACTCTTTATAGTATCAAATAAATATTTGATTTAATTTTTGTTGAGGATGTGGTTTAGTTCCCGGGGAAGAGGTGACATTTTGGCGCTAATAAAATCCAAGGTTGATATTTGATTTAGAGTTTTAAACACATTAATCATTAACCCCGGTTTAATATCAAAACCTCGGTAAAATCTTGATATGAACTCGTTCTATCTGTATGTCTGTGTCAGTGGGTAAAACACTAAATGATAGAGTGAGCTGCAATTCTCTAAAAACTCATATAAAAAGACCAACTTTGGTTGTATTTATTGCACCGATTCTGTAATGCAAGTATGCTGCCCCCTGTCTGTATTTTTACATATTGGACAAGAATGTGGGCTGAGTACAAGGTTTTGACTTAAAGCCTCTTTAGAACCGTGTTAACAGGTGTACAGCCTCACAAAGCAGAGGATCATTATTACCACTATTGACAGCGCCCCCTACTGTGGTGTTCAAAATTTGAACAGGATTCCTTTCAAGTAGGGATGTGGACCGATATTATCGGCCCCCTATTAGCGTAACTATTTAATATCTGTAAGAATCAGGTTTTTACTCCGAAAATGAAAACCCGATAATGCAAGGTCTGGGTTTTGTCAAACAACGTGTGCCCTAAAAATAGTTTGGGGGATAAACGGCTGTATATGAAAGTGAATGTCACTAGATGGCAGCCTTGCAGCTCATTTATTTAATCTATTTTAATATTCAGGGGATTGTGTGCAGAATGCTGGTCCCAGCAACTCATACTGTGGTTTGTACAGAAAAATAAACAAAAATTACTAGGCCACATCTCTACTTTTAAGTTATTTTTTTTTCTGATTTCAAAATTGTTTATTTTTGTGTTTAAAATTTGTCAGAGCTGTTGCCGACACCTACATCTTAGTCTCAGTTCTTCGGTGTCGTCTGGTTTAGAGATGCCGGTGAAGGGAGCGTAAACAAGTCCCTTTAAACCTTCATATCATTTACTGTTTTAGCTCAAAGTAAATGAGTTTATTTTTTTTTCTCCTCTCCAAACTCTGCTGATAAACAACATCTTTTCACAGTAAACTGAGAATCGCAGATTTTCTCAGAAGCAGCATGTCGCTGTCAGATGGAATCAGCCGAGTGAGACCGTCTGTCATTATCTGAGACTAAACCCGCGCAAGGAAAACATGAATTATGTCTCTATCACTTTCATAAACCAGTGGCTCAGTTCCTGCTCAGAAATGACCGTCCGTGCCTCACTAGGCCTCACACACCACAAACCCCTGCTGTTTCCAACACTTCCTACCTCGGCCCTCCATCACCGCTGACATGTTGTTTATGGCAATTCTGACAGATTACATGTAACTTATCTCCGCACTCGGCTCCTCTGTGTGTGTGTCTGTGTGCAGTGGGGCAGAGCATCACATAAAGGCATGTTTACAATAAATCATGACTAGTAAAAGCTGCTGGAAAGAGCAAATAATGGAGAATGAGTAAATAATTCAGCAGCCGTCACCCTGCATGAACACAGTTCAGATTTTCACTCGACTTCTGCTCGTGATAGAAATCCTCTGCCAACTTCTGCTTCCTTAAAAAGCCTTCAGATATCTCAGAGAAGTGAATATTTAACCAGCGGTTACAGTAACACAGACATGGAGGTTTGTTTGATAAATACAAATGTTCGCTCCAGGCTGCGTCTCTTTGTTATAAAGGTTGTGACAACAAACGTCTTAGTGTGAAAACGCTGCATTCAAATGCTAATTAGTTTCATTTAACAGGGATGGAGGTCGAAGGAAGGACTGACAACACCACGGTGGTTGCTGGAGACAATCTTTGTCCATCACACCGGCCTGTTCTTCCCTTCAGATGGTTGCTGGAGACAATCTTTGTCCATCAAAGACACCACGAGGACCAGGGGACGAGGAGACAAGATCAAGGTGATGACATCACACAGCCACAGACATTGACCGTCCCAGTCCCGGCCTCCTACACACTCTGATCCAGCTACTATTAAACACCAGAATCCACGAGTGATTCTGTTTATGTTTAGGTACGAGGCTGATGGAGACACAGTCTGCTCTGATTGGTCGAACACATGCAGCAGGTCAGGTGTTCACAGAGTTCTCAATGACATCTGAATTAAAACAACCAAACCTATACTTAACATCATCATCACCATCATCTGTAACACACAGCATGACGCAACAACTCAGCCTGGCACAGAACGAGTGTGGGAAAAAAGTACAATTCAACTTGGCAAACAAAGCTTTACAGCATGAGAGTGAATCTACTGGACAAGGTCAGGTGCAGTGGTCAATTTCTCCACTTGTGCTTTTTGTCCAGAGACGAAGAGAACTAATGGAAAACAGGACAAGAAGTGGGAATGAGTGACTATGTCCAAATGTACTGCGTCTATTTTACTTTTAACATAAAACTTAACTTAAAATCTCTCTCTTTGAATATATATATATATATATGTGTGTGTGTGTATGGGCTATATATTTAGTGACTAGGTTTAATACTTATTCCAAAAAATATTACTTGGACTAAATCAAAAATTTACACTGGTTAAATGTTTGGGCTAGGTTCAGCATCCAATAGCCGCAAGCTAGCACATTGTTGCGTTTGTGAGGAGCAGAGGCCAAGGCTTTAGAACACGACTGAATCTGTGATTAGAGTTTGTGAGGAGCAGAGGCCAAGACTTTAGAACACGACTGAATCTGTGATTATACATTTTTGATCCGCAAACACAATGAATGGGCCGGACGTGTGGATCCACAGGAGATCTCGTCCGGTCCGACCTCCATCTCTCCCAGGTCTTTAACACGTTACAGCGACAGTGGAACTAAACTGTCCAACGTTCTGATGTTAACAGGTGGAACACTGACTTTCACGTAGTGTTAGGTTACAGGTCAGGTCTGGGCTTCTCAGGCAGCCAGGGGTCTTCAAAACTAGACCGTGACCAGAGCCTGTTTGTTGACATGGAATATAAGTCGACCAAAATAGGAAAGGTCAAAGTTTACCGACCTCTAACTCACACGCGGCTGTGCTACCACACCATTCTGATACCTGTCAGTGCTGCAGAGCTCCTGGACGGCTGTAACAGGAGCCCCCTGCTGGTGTAGACAGTCGGACAAGGATACATGTGGTTGTCGGGTGGTCAAGCTTTGAGACCAACAGTTGTCTGACAATGTGCTAAATGTTCTACCTCTGACGGCCGAAGGAGTGAAAACAACTGTAGTTACCACGAAAATATAACTTCAGTGGAGACAAGGGACGGAAACAAATAAATTACCACCAGCACGATGGACAAATCACATCTTTCCAAATGGATCCTAAGAACCAAAGCGTGGATCTTTACACTGAATGTTCCTCGTTCCTTGGATGTCCTGACAGTTATTCTCCAACCATCCAAAGACTCTGATGTATGTGACGTGTAGACGTTACCTTTGAGGACAATGGGGTCTTTGCCCTCCCTCCTCAGCGACTCCAGGACCACGTGTAGAGGCTGAGAGACCGCCAGCCGGTTGGGGTCCGCGGTGTTCTCGTCGTAAACCACAATCTCTTTGGAGAAGATGCCCTTAAAGGAGTCCTTGCCCTCGCGGCAGGAGATGAGGTCCAGCACAGTGATCTTGCCCTGCTGCAGCCGCCGTCGGCTGATCTTGTCGGAGCAGTTGATGTGCACCGCTCCCCGGATGTGGCTCTTGTTGTACTCCATGAAGGGCCGGCAGTCGATGATGACAGGCACGGGCCCTATGGGGTGGCCCATGGGACAGCAGGTCATCCGCTTGGCCAACTCATTGGGATGGATGACCCTCAGGGAGGATATGGCCTTTGGGGTGCCCGTGGTGAGACTGGGGGTGCTAAATGCTTCATGGTTGCTCACCATGGGAGTAGGGGGCGCAGCATAGCTGAGGTTGGGGCTGCTGGCACTCACCGGGCTGTGGCTGAGGCTCTGGCTGTCCTTCTCATAGGTAGTCACAGAGCAGCAGCTGGCACTGCTGCATCCACACGACAATGAGCGCGTGGAGCCCTTGGATGAGGGCATATACGTTACAAGATTGGCCGTCGTCCGGATCTTCACCACGGTGGTGCTGATGACAGCCCTGCTGCTGCTGCTGCTGCTGCTGCTGCTCCTGCTGCTCCTGCTGCCGCTGCTGCTGCTGGCGGGGGGGGAG